AGGCAGTCCCAGTTGGGGTTGGCTTGATGCGCCTTCCTCTTGGCATGTTTCTCTCCTTTGCCCTCCATTTATGTCTTTTCAAATTCTACAGCACTGCTGGTCACAGCTGACCTCCAGCTGGAGCACTCAAGGGCCAGGACTTCCCAGGTCTCAGTGTCTATGCCAGAGCTTTTAAAGTTGGCTTTAGCCCATCTTTAAATCTCTTTTCCTGTCCTCCAACATTCCATTTTCCATTCATGAGTTCGGAGTAGAGCAACTGCCTTGGGAGACGGTGGTCAGGCATCCGGACAATGTGTCTGGTCCAGTGGAGTTGATGGTGGAGGACCATCACTTCAATGCTGGTGGTATTTGCTTCTTCCAGCATGTTGACATTTGTCCTCTTGTCTACCCAAGAGATTTGCAGGATTTTCTGGAGGTAGTGCTGATGGAATCATTTCAGGAGTTGCAAGTGACATCTGTAGACTGTCCACATCTCGCAGGCATATAGCAGGGTTGGGAGGACAATAGCTTTATAGACAAGCACCTTGGTATCCCTACGGATGTCCCGGTCCTCAAACTCTCTGCTTCATTAGGAAAAAAGCTGCACTCACAGAGTTCAGCTGGTGTTGTATTTCAGTGTCAGTGTTGACTTTGGTGGAGAGGTGGCTGCCAAGGTAGCGGAAATGATCAACATTTTCTTATGTTACACCATTAAGCTGCATTTCTTGCATTGGAGAGGGATTGGCTGGTGACTGCTGGAAGAGCACTTTGGTTTTCTCGATGTTCAATGACAGGCCAAGCTTCTTGTATACTTCTGCGAAGGTGTTTAGAGTGGTTTGTAGGTCTTCTTCTGAATGCGCACAGACAACGTTGTCATCAGCATATTGGAGTTCTATAACAGATGTTGTTGTGACCTTGGTTTTGGCTTTCAGTCTGTTAAGGTTAAATAGCTTGCCATCTATCTGATAGATGTTTTCCACTCCAGTGGGAAGCTTCCCGTCAACAAGATGAAGTATCATAGCAATGAAGATGGAAAATAAAGTTGGGCAACAACACATCCCTGTTTGACACCTGATTCCACCTTAAATGGGTCACTTTGGGAGCCATTGCTGTCCAAGACTGTTGCTATCATGTCATCATGGAGGAGCCGCAGGATCTTCACAAATTTTATAGTGCACCCGATTTTTTGGAGGATGGTCCAGAGAGCGCTGCGATTCACTGTGTCGAATGCCTTTGCAAGGTCAATGAATGCAGGTCTGATGCAGGTCCCTTTTGTCCCGGTGTTAGTTCAAATGGGAGGAGTGTGTGGCTGTCAATACATTCAGTTTGGATTAGAAGGTGCCTGTGAGACACAAATTGGAACCAAATCACACTGGAGCTGAATTATTTTGCAAGTGCGGATGCAGCCTGAGAGAAATCTCCTTCCTTGTACTTTAGTCCCCATTGTTAAAACTGAATTTATCACATCATCCATATGTTTTTCATTTCTGCTGCTATTCACACACACAACCAGTTCATTCATAGGTATAAATGTCTGTCCAGAGACACTTTCCTTTATATATATGATAAAGTAGACTGGAATCATAGAAGAACTTCTGTATAATTAACATCGGCTTAGACTGCAATTGGAGAAATCCCTAAGTGCATGGCACACAGAGAGGAGACATGTAGGCAGGCAGGTCTAGCAGCCTAGAGTTTATACTACTACCAAACACACGACTGAATTGAGGACACTACGGCCTTTCTGTTTAAAATCAACTGCTGAAGGTTTTGCCTGTCTGTGCCATTTTCTCCCACAAGCACACAGAGCCTTTATTTTTCTAGTTGAAATGTGTACTTTAAGATTGTTTCCCCAGCTGGAGTCCTAGATTATGATATACAATGGATTAATTCTACCTCATGCAGAATATGGTCACCTTCAGAATTTACTGAGATTTATTTAACATAATGAAAGAAAAGGCATTTGACATTTTCAGGATGAGGAGTACAACTGCCCTCTTGTTAAGCGTGCAAAGACTTTGCAAATCATGGAATTGCATACACACATGTCTACGTGCATCTGAAATAAAAGGATGGATAAGAGTTTTATGGGAAAAGAGCATTGAAAGAAGGACAATGCTGGCATGGAGGCAATATGAACATAACCCTTTGCTCCTCCTCTCCTTCTATTGTTTCTGTTGAAATAATTTTTCAAGGAACTTAATTGCAAATTATGTTAAGTGAGTCACTTGATGAACAGGGTTTGTGTGTAAGGGCTTTTGACACAAAGGGTCCCTACCATTAAGAAATGACTAATTTTCTGATATGAGCTGCAATCAGTACTGTAACAGAGTTTCACATTTGTTGTTGTTCATTCGTTCAGTCGTTTCCGACTCTTCGTGACTTCATGGACCAGTCCACGCCAGAGCTCTCTGTCGGTCCGTCACCACCCCCAGCTCCTTCAAGGTCAATCCAGTCACTTCAAGGATACCATCCATCCATCTTGCCCTTGGTCGGCCCCTCTTCCTTTTTCCTTCCATTTTCCCCAGCATCATTGTCTTTTCTAAGCTTTCCTGTCTTCTCATGATGTGGCCAATACTTCATCTTTGCCTCTACTACTATCCTTCCCTCCAATGAGCATGGCTTTATTTCCTGAAGTATGGACTGGTTGGATCTTCTCGCCAAGGCACTCTCAGAACTTTCCTCCAACACCACAGCTCAAAAGCATCTATCTTCCTTCGCTCAGCCTTCCCTATGGTCCAGCTCTCACATCCGTAGGTGACTACAGGGAATACCATTGCTTTAACTATGTGGATCTTGGTTGCCAGTGTGATGTCTCTACTCTTCACTATTTTATCAAGATTAGTCATTGCTCTCCTCCCAAGAAGTAAGTGTCTCCTGATTTCCTGGCTGCAGTCTGCGTCTGCAGTAATCTTTGTACCTAGAAATACAAAGTCTGTCACTGCCTCCACATTTTCTACCTCTTTCTCCCAGTTGTCAATCATTCTTATTGCCATAATCTTGGTTTTTTAATGTTTAGCTGCAACCCAGCTTTTGCGCTTTCTTCTTTCACCTTGATTAGAAGGCTCCTCAGCTCCTCCTCGCTTTCGGCCATCAAAGTGGTGTCACCTGCATATCTAAGGTTGTTAATGTTTCACATTACTGTTCTGATTTTACATTTCACTATTTCTGTTCATGTTGGTGATATAGGATGCAGCCATGTGGTGTGGTCAAGGAAAGGACAATTTCTTATCACATTCCCCTTTCTCTTAATGCACTCAAAGGCTAGCCTCAGAACTTGCCAGTTTGTTTAGAAAAAGAAAATGTTGTCCATAAATCAGGGCTTTGGGCTGCTGTCTAACTCCATCTCTCATTTTATTTTCCTTTGGTCAGTGCTTTGAACTGCAGATTTATCCCAGGTTGATCAAGGCTCATTAAAACAACAAAATGTGAGGCTTACTGCTAGTTCATTTTTTTCCCAACACAAAAAAAGACTGATCAAAAAGCACTCTCAAAATTAGCTAATCACAATGCATTCCCTCTCCCAAAACATATTAAAGTTGATGTATCTCCTCTACACTTCTAGGATATCATGCATTAAAATGGACAGATTAGATTATTTTGTTGACCCAACTCAAATTTGGCTTATAAACAAGATAGTATCTTGTGAAGGTTTTTATATGATAGAAAAAAACACCCACAATAAACAGAGTGACATCAATTTAATAGCATTGCCTGATTTTTTTGCTATTTTATATAAAGGACACCATTTTACTATGCCATTGTATTTCAAAGGTCTTGAGCATCCATGTACTTTGGTATCCACAGGAAGTCCTGCAACCAAGTTAACAGTAAAGGTTTCCCCCTGACATTAAATCCAGTCATGTCTGACTCAGGGGTGTGGTGCTCATCTCCATTTCTAAGCCGAAGAGCCGATATTGTCCATAGACACCTCCAAGGTCATGTGGCCGGCATGACTGCATGGAGCGCCGTTACCTTCCCGCTGGAACGGTACCTATTGATCTGCTCACATTTGCATGTTTTCAAACTGCTAGGTATGATTTTTCAATGAAATCAATAGTTACAGAGAGAGAAAAATAACAGTAATTATTTTTATGAACTCGCTTCCACAAGATGTAGTAATGGCTACTGACTACTAGCTGAAATGACTTTGAATGCTTTGATTCCCTCTCCTGTTTGCAGGCATCATAATTGTATTGCTTTGCTGGCAAAGGAAATAGAAAAGGGAATTACACAAATATAGGAGATCACGCAGAAAGGGTTTAACAAAAGGATAAAAATATCAAGAGGAAAAGATCAAGATATGGCTGCAATGTACCATTTACCAGAAGGCAGAACTGGTCTTTATCTGACAGAGTCAATAAAGATAAAGGTTTTCCCCTGACATTAAGTCCAGTCGTGTCCGACTCTGGGGATTGGTGCTCATCTCCATTTCCTGGCCAAAGAGCTGGCGCTGTTCATAGATACCTCCAAGGTCATGTGGTCAGCATGACTTGATGCAGCGCTGTTACCTTCCCGCCAAAGCGGTACCTATTGATCTACTCATAGTTGCATATTTTCAAACTGCTAGATTGGCAGAAGCTGGGGTTAACAGCGGGAGCTCATACCACTCCCTGGATTCGAACCTGCGACCTTTCAGTCAGCAAGTTCAGCAGCTCAGTGCTTTAACCCACTGCACCACAGGGGACTCCTTGACAGAGTCAATACAAGCAACCAAAGAATGGCTTGTTGTTGCATTTGGACCAAACATTCGTTTCTCTCTCTCTTCCTTTTTATCTTTAACTCTCTCCCATACGGAAATATGTTTAAACCTAGTTACTTCATAGTAGGACATTTTTTCTTAATCTTGAGACAATCAGGCTTCTTGATCTGTTTGCTGAATATCCTTTTTGCATTTTATTGGGAGCCATACCATAAGCCTGCAAGGCCTGTCTTTTGGTTTGTTCTGATTTGTTAGATTATTTTTCGAGAGCACACCATAACTATCATCATATTCCAGGGAAATAATTCAGAGAATAGAATAGATGCAAATGCTTTTCTATTTTAATTCTTTTACAGCAAAAGGTGCTTTTTAAATAAAAGTGTAAAAATATAGTTTTGCTGTATTTTCTACCACTAGGAGGCACTACTGGCATTCACAAACAAAATACTGTTTCCTTGGCAGGAAATGAGCACAGCCATCTATCCAATTATGTGAAAATGACAACAAAATGTTACAACTACCCTGAATTATTAACATAATATAAACAGAATAGGCAATATTAACTAAGTATATCTTATATTTAAATAAACTAAACAATTTCCCAAAAGGACTACCCTGTCTCAAACACAATTATCTGGTTCACATTCTGCTTCTTCATTCAGGTTTGGGCAGGGTGTCCCATTATTGGCAGGCTGAAGAAGTACATAACGCGTTCTTTTTTTGCTTCCTAAATGTCCGCATGTGCCTTTGCAAAGGCCCCAAGAAGACCAGAAGGATGTCTCACAATCCAGTGGAGTCTCTGCAAAACAGAGGCATGCATCGTAAATATTAACATGCAGCTTTGGTCATGACATTACAAGAAACATTTGGACCCTCCCAGATAAATGTGCATTGGTTGAAAAGTAGGATACGCTGAAACAGTAGCAAGTAGTAAAAAACCTTAAGGCATAAAATTCACCATAATTTAAATTAATGCTATAACATGCTACAAATCTTGGGCAAATAAACCTCATAAGGAGAGAATTGATTATAAGGTGATCATGAGCCAGTAATGAGATGCAAAGACAATTTCAGTCTGGGTTAATGGAAGCATAGTTTCCAAGCCAAGGAAAGTAACAGTCAGAATGTATTCTGAACTGATCCACATATTCTATGGCATTGTGTTCATTTCTGGCGTTCATTTTCAGGATATAGACATGATGGAGCAAGTTTATTGAACGGCAACAAGAATGATAAGAAGAATGGAGAAGAAAACATATGAAGAAAGGCTGAATGAGCTGAGCATGTTCAGCTTGAGAAGAGGAGACTAAGGAGTGACATGACTGCACCCTAATAGTACGGGCCCCTGGTGGCGTAATTGATTAAATCCTTGTGGCGGCAGGACTGAAGACTGACAGATTTGAATCCGGGGAGAGCACAGATGAGCTCCCTCTGTCAGCTCTAGCTCCCTATATGGGGACATGAGAGAAGCCTCCCACAAGGATGGTAAAACATCAAAAAATATCCGGGTGTCCCCTGGGCAACGTCCTTGCAGATGACCAATTCTCTCACACCAGAAAAAGTTTCTCAAGTTGCTCTCAACACAAAAAAAACCCCCTAACAACAACAACAACAACAACAACAACAAAGAACTGGTGGGATCACAAGCCTGAAAATTTACAGAAAATGAACACATCAAACTACACTGGGACTTCTGAATTCAGACAGACCGTTTTGGAGCACAATACTCCTGACCTCACGATTGTGTTAAAAAAAAATATGGATCATTGATGTTGCAATCCCAGGTGATAGCAGGATTGAAGAGAAACAACTGGAAAATCTTGCATGATATGAAGATTTAAAGATCAAACTGCAAAGACTCTGGCACAAGCCAGTAAAGGTGGTCCCAGTGGTGATCGGCACACTGGGTGGAGTGCCTAAAGAACTTGGCCTGCACTTAAACACAATTGGCGCTGACAAAGATACCATCTTCCAGCTGCAAAAGGCTACCTTACTGGGAACTGCACACATTATTTGCCGATACATTACACAGTCCTAGACACTTGGGAAGTGTCGACGTGTGATCCAATACAACAGCCAGCCCAGCAGAGTGATCTTGTTTGCTGTGGACTCATCTTGTTGTGTTTCAAATAATAATAATAACAATAATATTTCTTACCCACCTCTCCTCATGCCTTGTGGCAGGTTATAACATAGCTAAAAACACATAATCATCTTATAAATGCTATAAAACACACATATTAAACTGTATTTCTATAAAATACATATTAAAATTCACAGAACAAAGATTAAAACACAAGTGCTGTCAGACTGGAGGTGACATGCCTCTTCTTTGCTTCCCCAGAGGGTAGGACCAGGTCTAATGGTTTTAAACAGCAGTAGAGTAGATTTCAACTGAGCGTTAGAAGGAACTAGAGCCAATGGCCTGGAGAGGCAGTGAGGCCTAGTTCTCTGAACATCTTCAAAAAGGGCATTTTCTGAACTAGCCAGCCTATAATCTTTACCATGCTGTGTTTTTTTTTATTAAAGAGTCAATTTAAATAAGGATGGGATTTCAGATTTTTTAAAATAATAATTTGCCGGAAAACAATATTTTTCCTCACTGTGGGTGAATGCAGTGGCAATACAAATGTCATCTTTCAATGTGCATATCACCAAGGATGGTATTTCATAGAATAACAGAATCATTGAGTTTAAAAGAGACCTCGTGAGCCATCCAGTCCAACCCCTGCCAATAAGCAGGAAAATCACATTCAAAGCACTCCCAACAGATGGCCATCCAGCTTCTGTTTAAAAGCCTCCAAAGAAGAAGCCTCAACGCACTCTAGGGCAAACACACTCCTGTGAGCTCTCTCTCACAATTAGGAAGTTCTTCCTCATGTTCAGGTGGAATCTCCTTTCCTGTAGTTTGAAGCCATTGTTCCACGTTCTAGTCTCCAGGGCAGCAGAAAACAAGCTTGCTCCCTCCTCCCTTTGACTTCCCCTCATATTTATACAGGAGTCTCATGATGTCTCCTCTCAGCCGTCTCTTCTGCAGGCTAAATATGCCCAGCTCTTTAAGCCGCTCCTCATATGACTTATTCTCCAGACACTTGATCATTTTAGGCTCCCTTCTCTGGATACATTCCAGCTTGTCAACACCTTCCTTCAATTTCGGTGCCCAGAATTGGACACCGAAATGTGGTGGCCTCCTGCACTGATCTGCTCTAACAAGTATTTTATTATCTCTATGATCTTTTGGACTGCATTATACGGTTGTTATAAGCTACTCAAACAGATAAAGTAATAGAATGGCAATTGAACTGGTTGCCTAGAGAGATGGTGGTGTTTCCTTCTTTGGGCATCTTAAGAAAAAGGCTGGACAACTACCTGCTTGAGCTGCACATTATTTATGAGCAGTCATGATGCCACAAAAATGTGCACATTTTCCATTTTTCTGAATACTTCATCTGGTTAAGTGGTATAAAATTAGATCATTGTCATTAAGCCATGGGTTTGTTTTTTTAGCTATAGGTTTAGCTAATAAATGTATCTCTAAAGTACAGATTGCAGGCGTAAAGAGTCACTGATTAGTGTACGGGCAATAATTTATACCTAGGAGTGTACACTGGCATTGGAAATGAGTGGGGATTTCTCTACTGAACAGCTAGCATAATTTTGGATTTTGCTGATTCCTTCCCATCCCCTAATTTTTATAACCTCTGGAATAAAAGTGCACATCCTTCGGTACAATTATGGTTAGTTGAAGCAAATATATCACTCAGTTGTGAATCTTTTCTTCTTCACTTAACTAGTAAGGCTATAYAGTCTTCCCTCACTTATCATGGGAGTTACATTCCAGGACCACCTGCAATAAGTGAAAAACTATGAAATAGGGATASCCCCCCCCCCCACTTCCCTCCTCACCCTCTTTATCTTCATTTTCCTCTCCTCGTCACCTCCTGGGTCTCTAGCCTCCTCTTGACRGAGGTGTCACGGGGCCCAAGCAGTGGCAAGAGGCCCCGGTGGCAACCATGAGGAGGGTCGCCCCTTTTACCTCCCTCCTCTTGGTCACTGCCCGGGCCTCTTCCTTCCAACCCACGAAACAGCGAGTCTGTGGTAAGTGAAATGCAAAGTAGCGAGGGAACACTGTATCTGGCCCCATCTATACTGACATATAACACAGTTTGAAATTATATGAGAGTAGACTCATATAATGCGGTTTAACTGCATTGAACTGCATTATATGAATCTACACTGACCATCTAACACAGTTTCAAACTGTGTTATATGACAGTTTTGATGAGGCCTTTATTTTCATCTTGGTTCTGGGAGTTGAAAATATCTTAGGTTCAGTTTAAGCATTATGGTCCTTGTGGGTTATTGAAAAGGTTCTTTGCTGGCAGCGTTCTTACATGGAAGCTGTAAATAAAGTCTACAGCAAGCTAAATTGTTGTTGTTGTAACTGATTTTATATGGTATTTCTGTGACAATGCTATAATAGCACCTACTTTTACTTTGATGTGATCCATACAGTAGCTGCTGTAGCTGTACTTAGAGGATCTCCACATACCACAGGAAAAACAATCATGACCCACTGGAATGATAGCATTCAAGTCCCTCAAAAACAAAAGGAACATCTGGCAAGATTTACTGGCTCCTTGGTTTTCTGGTCCCACTGCCAGAATCGTTTCTCCTTGTCTAGCCAACATGCCTGCGGAGATGTAATTTGTGGCTACGTCTCCATATGACCTTAGAGGGAATGTCATGCTGCACATTGCTTAGCTTCTTGTAGCTTTATCAATGTATTTTTTAAAAGACACTTACCTGATACTGAATCATCTATTTCATTACCTATTGTTGTCACATTGGTTTGAGGAATAGGAAAACCCAGTCTGCTTCTCTTAAGCTTTACCAGCGTCACTCGAGCAATAGGTGGCAAATTTTTAAGCTTGGGGTAATAGAATGAGTTTGCTGGATGACTTGGAGAGGAACTTGTGATCTGTAAATGAAAATACAGGGACATAGGATGTCCATTACAATATATTGCAATGTGAAGTGCCTGTGTTTACATTTCTAGCCAGTGTATACCATTCTCCTTCTTTGAAATGGACAAAAGTCGAGACTGAACACTGGCAGGGAGGAAGCAAAGGCTTTCACAAGACTTATTTTCTGCTTCTGATGCTTTGCTAAGGCATTCATCCTGACATTTGCCTCGACAGCATGGAGGCTAGCTAAGGGCTAAGCGAGGACAGTCATCCCAGTGTGGTCAATGTGAAACCCAAGGCAAAGCAATGCCAAATTGCTGTCTTTAAAGAAGAGACTGAAGAGTGTACCTGATAAAACAATGATGGGGATTTGTCAATTGTGGGATTTATGAACACAGAAGTGTGATTTTATTGTATCACTTAAGAGGAGTGATAACCCTAACCTTTACTTTTACTTTTAAACCCTTAGAACAGAAGTAGTTTACAGACTTGGCTCAGGGGCTGGGAGGTGTTTGTTGGAGCCAACTTTTGGGGTGGAGGGGTTAATGACATAAGAACCTCTCCTCCAAAATGCCATCTGACCCAATCGCAGATGTCTCTGTACAAACAGAATACGCTTGTAGCTCCATGCCAATCTGTACAGTGTCAGGCAAAAAACATTTGTTGTATTAACTGGGATGTCCACATGTGTGAAGATGTAAGATGGAGACACAGATCCTTCACAGCACAGAAAGTCAAGATTACTACTGTCAAAAGTAGGAGTGTATAAAGGACCACTGAATCTGAATACTACAACTGTCCACTCACAGTCACTAAATAGCTTTTCTACTGCTATTCATAGCTCCCAATGATGGCTACCCAACTCCACTTCAGGTCAAGTCAGTTCAGTGGTGCTTACTTCTAAGGCCCCATCTACATGGACATATAATCCAGTTTCAGAATACAGATTAACTGCATTGAGCAGGATTATATGGCAGTGTAGATTCATATAATCCAGTTCAATGCGGTTCAGTCTGCATTATATGAGTCTACACTGACCATCTACATTGACCATTTTACACTGACCCTAAACAGCTCGGGTCCTGTCTATCTTTGTGACCGCATCCCCCCTATGAACTGCTGTGTCTTCTAAGATATGCTGGGGATGCCCTCCTCTCAGTCCCATCACCATCATAAGCACTGTTGGTGTGGACAATAGAGAGGGCTTTCTTGGTGGTGGCTACCGGGTTTGGGACTCCTTCCCCAGGGAGATTGGACAGGCCCCCACACTGTCCTCCTTTCATAGGCACTTGAAGATGTGTCTCTTCAATCAAGCCTTTGAGAATATTTAGCCCCTAGTTGTCCTATGTAGTAGTTGCACATCCTGCACTTTATCCCATGCGCTCTCTCCATTACTACAGCTGGCACTTATTTTATTCCAATGTTTACAGCCCGGCCATGGTGCCAGTAATTTACCACCATGGTTAGGGGATCAAAGCTTGATTGAGTCTGAGTTGATGTTTTATATGTGTATGTGTTTTATTTTATTGTATTTTATATTTTGTTCACTGTTAATGTTTATTTTTAGGCTCTTTGTGCTGCCTGTAAGCTGCCTTGAGACCTTTCAGGAAGTTGGTGGCAGGATATAAGATGATGATGATGATGATATTATTATTATTATTATTATTATTATTATTCTGTTCAAACCACATTTTATGGCAGTGTAGATGGGGCCTCAGTTAGTAGGTATTGAATGTTAGAGAGCAACACATAGCAACAATCTGTGAAACTCATGTAAAATAGAAAGAAAATATAATTATAGATGTAAAGAAACAAAGATTAAAGTTGATCTCATGGATATATTGGAAAGGAACAAGAATTGGATCCACTGTAATTGTATACAGGTTTTGTACTCTGGGTGACAGGAATACACAGTCACAGAGTCACACGTTGAAACATTTGGGCTTGATACCTATTGGTAGTCCCAAATGGAGTAGTCCTGTTGAATCAATTGTTAGTGAGTTAAATCACAGTTGATTTAATCTGACTATTGATGTAAGGGGTCTATTCACAGAACGCAGTGTGCATTGCTGTGACCTCTATTGCTAACCCTAAAAAAAGCAGAAGACATCAATTGCATGAATTAGGCCACAAGTCCATTGAGTCTTGTACAACTGTGAAACAACAAGAATGAACACCAGGAAGGCTTACAGGGTGGCATGGTAACCATTACCTTTTATAAGCTCAGGATATATGTGAACAGAACATATGATATATCAACATGAAGCTGTAATGGAAAACCAGAATGTGGGATGAAAGAAAAGAGAGCACACATATCCAAGACTGTGCTCATTAATATAAGGTAAATCACTTTCCATTAACTATAGTCATGTCTACAGGAGAAAATAATTATACTCAATGCCCAATAGAGATTCTTACCTCTGAGATAGTATCTTGTGGAATGGTAGCAAAGTTGGGTGAAGAAAATGTGAATCCACTGTCAGTTCCAGCATCATATGGGAAAAGCTCCAATGAGATTTGCTGCTTCCAATGATCTTTTTCACAGAGATTTAAGCTATCTACACCCACAAACCAGTCAGGGCTAGGCACAATCCGTACTACAAGGGAAACCTAACAGTTTAAAAAAATCAGAATGAAAGATTATACATCTAATTTTATATAAATGAAATATAAATGAATTGGCCAATTCATTTATAAATATAAATGAATCAGCCAATTCATTTATAAATGAAATATAAATGAATTGGCTGAAAATATTACAGTATTCTGCCAATAAATAATCTATTGATATATTTTATAATACAAGAAATTTATGTATTTATGTATTTATTTATTTACCATACCCCGTCCTTCTCACCCCCAAAGGGGGACTCAAGGTGGCTTATAAACTATGGCACTAATTCCAAGAAATCCAAAGATCGTAATAATAAAAACATTTTTAAAAACTGTCACACTTAAAATGTATTCAGTTGTCTGCTTTATCACCTTACATACTTGTGTCTTCTAAATCAAGCCTAAATTATTCCTAGAACTGCAATCTTAAATTTGTAATGAGTTGGATTGATCCATTAAATGAAATAAGGAGGCATGCACAACCAACTGCAAAACTAAATTACTTGGGGGGAAAGCAATTATTTCCAATTGCATCTGTTACCAATAGGCGCCGCCTTACAGGAGGCATTCCTGAACCGGTCAAACAGAGAAGGAAATCCTATCTCACTGTGTTATGTGCATTTTCCATTGAAAAATCAAGCCTGCTTGTTTCTTGAAAACAATTGCTTTCGTTGTATGAATTTACATGAGTAATTGTCTAATTTAAGAGCTGGGCTGCAACTTTTTCAAACAGCTGGAAGCCTTGATTCGTTATCATTGCCTTTGCTCTAATGACCAAGAGACCAATGAGCCATTTCCAACTTACCAGTGGATGTCCTGAATCAACTTCTAGGTCTGTGGAGGTTTGTCCGGTGCCAGTGGATATGGCAGGCGCAGAGAAGATTCCATGAACACTTTGGATTTTTTCTCCAGCTGCTTCAATTTCCTTCATTAATGTCCATGGTTCACCTCTTTCAGCAAAGTCACGCATGCCATTACTGGCATACTCATTTGCTTTCCATATGTTGTAATCGGAATTATGAGTCACGCCTGTTGAAAGGAGGACACTGCAGTACATCAAGATCTGGTTTGGATTTGGTTCATGCCTTAATAGAGGCTGCTTCAAATTTTCCTTTTTTCTAAAGTGGGACGATCTGTGTTTAAAATGTAAGGTATGCTATTTACTTCATCTGCAGCTAATTGAAAACAGTCCCCAAAGTTGGCTGAAAAAACTAGCTCCAGATTTTGTATCCTGGAATAATCCTACATGTTTTGTCTCTCTGTTACATGAATTTAGATGTAACTTGATTCAGAGGATTAAAAGAAAAGAGGCTAATGCTTGGGGAAAAGAAACTTCTCACATCACTCAAGACACAGTTCACTTACCTAGAAGGGAAGACCACTGTGCTGGAGGCCTGTAGAGTGGATACTGCTTAGGAAATGCAACGTGGCTCCATTTCCCTGAGAAAACAATATGGTATGCGGCAAGCTCGTCTGCTGTGCAAACTGAGTTGTCATCAAGTGGCAAAGACGTGACACAGCTCAGAACCGTGAGAAGCAGCGTTGTGATCATTTTGTTACAGCTGGAGACACGTTTTCAAGTTTCCATTTCCTTGAAGAAGGAAAACCACATTCGTCTCTCTTGTAGGGTATGTAAAGAGTTCTCTAATATAAGATGATGATGATGATGTCCTGACTTTGACTTAAATGAGAGTCAAATTTATTATTATTTAGTTTGTTTAATATATCGCTCCTCTTAGCCTTGCGGTGACTCGAGGCAGTTTACAAGGCAAAATTCAATGCCACAAAATACAAAAACAATGTTAAAACATTAACATCAATAAAATCATAACAGTAGTAAAAACATAACTCAGTAGATTCTCAATAAAAACATTGTCCAATTCCATCAGATAATTGTTCCGTTTTCCTCTGCCCATTACTCAATATTTGCAAATGTTTACTCAAAAAGCCATGTCTTGAGTTTTTTCTGAAATGTTAGGAGCGAAGAAGCCGATCTAATCTCCTTGAGGAGGGCGTTCCATAGCTGAGGGGCCACCGCTGAGAAGGCCCTGTCTCTCATCCCCGCCAACTGTACTCAAAACAACTCAGAACACTAAATACAAAATTCAATTTGAAACCTACACCATATAGCAATTTAAATGGAATTAATCTATATAAATAAAAATGTAGTGTTCATTTGTGGGATTAATATAACTCAAAAACCACTGGACAAATTGACACCAAATTTGGACATAATACACCTATCAGGCCAATGAGTGACCATTAGGGCTGGGTGGTTTCATTCGTTAATTTCGTAATTCGTTATTAATTCGTTATTTTTTTGATAACGAAGCGATATTGAACCATTCAGGAGCAACTAAAAAACGAAACGAATTTTTTCGTTTTGTAATTGTTTCGAAATTGTTTCGTAATTGATTCGTAATTGTTTCGTTATTATTTCCGTATGTCTGGTGCAAGTTTTATAGTCGTTGTTTGTTTTATCAGTGATAAAAAATAAATTATCACACCAACAGTCAACAACAGAGGGAGAGGGAAGCTTCAGAAGTTCCCCCTGTCCCATTTGGGGGTTTTTTTAGCGTATTGCGCAATCACGTCTGCCATTAACGAATCGATTTGTTATTGTTTCGAAATTGTTTCGTAATTTCCGAAATTTCGTAAATATCGAACTTTTTAAAAGAAAAATTTCGGAATTCTTTTAAATAACAAAACGCAAAACCCCCCTAAAAACGAATCGAGTTTAGAAACAAATTTTTCCGTGGTTGGACAGCCCTAGTGACCATCATTCATAAAAACACTGAAAAACATAGTGGAAAGGACTTAAAAAGCCAAAAAAGGAAAATGCGCTGCAGCACATGTGTGAAAACAACTCCCCCGGCAAACAAAACCCACAATAGCATATCCATACTCTCTTCCAGACTGCAGCTCCCAGCATCCCCTAGACCAGGCCCTTTAAGAGAGGAGGATGGTCCAAATGCACTATTTCCAAGATACAAGCTTTCTTCTCCTTGGATCTCTTTGGGAGCATCCCAATCTCTGCATATTTCCAATTTCCTATCCCTGGACTGCAACTCCCAGCAATCCTCCAGATAGATAATTAGCTAGAGATAGGTAGGTAGGTAGGTAGGTAGGTAGATAGATCAATCAGGGGACTGCTGGGAGTTGCAGTCCAAGAATAGGTAGAGAAGGATGAAAGGAGGAAAAGAGGGAGGTAAAGAAAAGGGGGGAAAGAAGGGAAGAGGAAGAGAAGGAAGGAAGGATGAAGAGAAGGAAAGAAAAAAGGGGAAGGAAGGAGAGACAGAAACAAGGAGAGAAAGAGGGAGGGAAAGTTGGCCACAGCAACGCGTGGCAGGTACAGCTAGTATAGAATATATATTATTATTTATTAATATGAAACATATAATGAAAATCACAGAAAAGCATCAAAGTTGTTTTAAAAAGAAGAAAATTCTTTAAAGCGTTCTTCTTTAAAAGCCTGCTTGAATGGAAAGGTTTTCACCCTGCCGCTAGAAGGATAACAGGGAAGGGGCCATTCAAGCCTCTCTAAAGGATAAGTAGAAGTTTTACAAAGAGCTAAAAACCCTTTTTGTATCTGTGAACATGATGGTAAACCTCCATGCAGCATAGTTTTAAAGTACCTTTTTGATCACAAATGGTATCCCTGGAATAGTATTATTTTCTGATTTTGTGTTTAATCTTATTACAATTATGTTTGACCTAGTTATATTAACATATACTTCAGTAAAGGTTATGAATAGTAGAGTTATGCTTGAAGATAAAAGCTGCATGTTATTTCATCTTGAGCCATAACTCCTTTTACATTTGAGTTTGAGGATCTATTTCATAGCATAATATTGAACAGCAACTTGGTGCATTACTACCTAGTCCATTTCATATTACAAAATTTTTTTCAGAAAGCATCAAGAGAAGACAAAAAGGCAAAGCCTTTTATTCTTCAAGAACTGGGCATAACTAAAAAGTTCAGCTCCGGCAGTTGAACAGTACATGAGTAATACTTACAAATATTTCACACTTCCAGGCGTTTCCTGTGGAGGACTGATAAGTTGAAGAGCGCTTGCTTTTGCTTGCAGCTGAGTTGTTCTGCAAGAGAGGAGAGCCTGATTCCTGCTATTTATGCCTCAAGAAGGTCCCTTTGGTCCAGGCTTGGTTGCAAACCCTAGACTCTCTAGCAGAGTATAATTTGTGCCTGTTTGAGAAGATTGCACTTTTTATGAGAATTAGTTGAATGCCATTTGTGTGTGGGGAGGGGTTAAACTATTACATCTGGGAGGCTGCCTAGACAAAGGACTTTTTCAAGAATTTACATTATTGTCATCACTTTGAGATTTCTGAGGACAGTGCATATCTCTGTTTTTGTTTTCATGCCCTTGAGCTAAGAATGAACTACTTCCAAAAACTTCCTCATGGAAGATTTTAATACAAGAAGMATTTTTTTTTYGCTTTACTGTCTGACAGATGGCTCTTCCAAGTATTTACTGAGAGCAACCCTCCCCCCTCCCCACTCCACCCCTTCATGCACTCATATGCACATATTTGAGCAAGGAAATGAAAGTTGAAGATGCATAGAAAAATACAGCTTCCAAAATAACYGMACATCTGATTTCAAGAAAACAATGGCATGTATACTTTTTAATCAGATCCTGGAAATCTTGCTTTTTGGAATTCCCCAGCCTACATGCCTGGGGCCATGCCGGCTCGAGCATTCTGGGAACCGTAGCTTTGAACCCCCCCCCCCCTCCAGATTCTGTTTATAGTCTCCATACATTATCTGATAAAGGATTATAAATGTTACTGTGTTTGAAAAGTGCAATTGGGGACACTTACATGGGGGGAGGGGGTTGTCATTATTGGTAGCTAATATAAATTGAATTTATTTATTTATTTATTTATTTATTTGCGGTATTTATACCCCACCCTTCTCAACCCCATAGGGAAGACAAGGTGCTATATAGGCAACAATTAGATGCCATAAACACACATAATGAAAATGTTAGCAATAAAGCAATTTATTTATTTATTATTTATTTACAGTATTTCTATTCCGCCCTTATCACCCTGCAGGGGACTCAGGGCGGATTACAATGTACATATACAGGCAAACATTCAAAGCCTTAGACACACAACACATATAGACAGACAATCAGAGGCTATTTAACACTATTTTTCTGGCCACCAGGGGAGCTGTTGCTTCACCGTCTGTCACGTTGCCAGGGCTCTACCTTATTTAGGTAGAGATTAACCAAACTCCCAGTTTTATCAAACAGTTTAATTAAAA